CTATCATGGGAGGAATAATCTTTCTTATGGCAATGTCATTAGAACCAAATGAGTTAATGTACACAAACCATAGTTGCTTCAAATGCTACAGTTGAGTCCAGCTCTGGGAAAGGTATGGTAGGAGGTGGGGAAGAGGAAGGGTAGGAGGAGCTCAAAAAAAAGAAGTAGGAAAAAAAAAAGAAGTAGAAGACATAGACGTCACCTGCAAGAAGGTTATAGACAGTTGGGAAGATAAGACATGCATGTGAACCAGAAACCCGTGAGACAGTCTCCCTGCCCTGGGAGAGTGGGATTTCTCTGCGGAGGACTAGCAGGTTTTGAGGAAGTAGAGAAGAAAGAAGAGGGAACGCCATGCTGGCGGGGGAAGTAAGCCAATATATGAAGACAGGTGGAGATTCTAGCGTCATGTGCTGGTGAGGGCACGGAGAAGAGTTCCTGCTCTTCCACGCTGTCCTCTGCTATCTTGGGGACACCCCATGAGTCATCTCCCTGACGGATCTGGGCTCTTCGCATGGTTTTAATTAGCTCCAGCTAGCACCAGACTCAGCATTTGTCTGATCCAGTCTCTTCTTTTTTAGATGAGGAATCTGAGGTTCAGAGAAGATGCAAAACTTGGCTGTTGCTGAATGAGAACTAGCCAGGTCCAGTTCCCTGTAACACCCATTGTCCCCACCACTGACCGCCATCAACATCAGGAGAGCCACTTACTGAAGAAGTGGCAGTAATGGTCCCTGGGCCCCAATCAGAGTCATCTTCCGTCCCCCTCTCTCCTCGACAAGTGACCCCTTCCGTAACTGTATGGGAAGGAGAGGGAGGAAGAGAGGGGTCTCCAGGGAGTAGGACCGAAGCAACCGGAAACCTGGCATGGATGGAAACAGACAAAAGACTAAGAGAGAAGCAGCTGGATGGAGAGCTGTGTGCACTCTGGTTCATGGCGATAAATGTTATTAACATCGTGTCACACAGACACGGACGCTGGAGCCAAAGACATTTCAGTCTGGAAGATTGTCTACAAGGATGGCCAGTAAGCATTCCAAGAAATCGATATTGATTCAGAATTAAGTGGAACTGAATTGGATGAAATTGACAGTCACAAACTTGATGCCTTTAATCCTTCTTATTATTAACTAGTATCTTCCTCCTGGTAATCATAAGCCTTTATTTTTCAGATTTTTTTCCCTATTATGGAAATGAAAATAAAATACCAATGAAATTTTTTGAAGTAAATAAATGAAAAAAATAAAATGAGCATCAGTCCTCTGGCTTACATGCACCCTCAGGCCAGTTTCTCCAGAATGGATTGCTTTTCTATAGACCCGCTCAAGCACCTGCCCTCTGGCAAATTTCTCTGCCATCGACTGGCTGCGTGTTTCTGTTGCTTTCTGTATTTGCTACTTCTGCACCCCTTACAGTCCCATTTCCCTCTTTTAATAGTTCACCACCTTTCACTAGTTAGTAACTCTGTATTAAAATTTCCCTGTTTAAAAAAAAAAAAAATCAGGAGAGCCAGGTCTCCCCCTACCTGGCAGCTGCCCCGCTTCCCCAGTTCTAAGAGGAATAGACAAGGGCTTGCTCTTGCATTCAAGCAGGGTCTAGGAGACTGTATTAATATTTCCAGAGACTCACGGAGCTTCCCTGGAGTTGATTACTCTTCCCTGTCTCACTGAGGGCAGGCTTGGCCATATGACTTTCTCTGATCAATGAAATGTGAGCAAACTTTCCAGCAGAAGCCACTGTGTGTGACTACTGTGTGGTTCTCCATTCTGTCTCTCTCATTCTCTCTCTTTTTTTATTGTGTTAAAATACACATAAGATAAAATTTACCATATTAACCATTTTTTATTGAAGTGTAATTGATTTACAATGTTAGTTTCAGGTGTACGGCAAAGTGATTCAGTTATACATATACATACATACATATTTTATTTTCAGATTCTTTCCCATTATATGTTATTACGAGAAATGGAATATAATTTCCTGTACTAAACAGTAGGTCCTTGTTGTTTATCTGTTTTATATATAGTAATATGCGTCTGTTAATCCCCAACCCTTAATTTATCCCTCCCCTCCCTTTCCCCTTTTAACCGTAGTTTGTTTTCTATGTCCATGAGTCTGTTTTCGCACATTAACCATTTTTAATTGTACAGTTCAGAAGTGTTAATATCCATGTTCTCATTTCCCTTCACCATGACTACCAGGAATTCTTCAGATAGGATCTTCTACATCAGCCTGGGTCCCAGGTTCAGATGACATGGAGGAGAAATTCAGCTGACTGTGAGCAAGAAATACATCTTCGAGGTTGTAGCTTCTGGCACCTTGAGCTTGCTTGTTGTGCCAGCAGTACCCAGCCTCTCCTGGCCGATATGCAGGATAACACGCTGTCGTTTCCAACTTGCTGTCCACACTGCTGCCTAAGATCATGAAGGTCCCATGCCGTAGCATCTGACTTGTCCAAAAGTAGAAGATACTGTTTCTACCCTCTAAAACCTCAAGATACAGGATGCAGACCAGGAACGGAACAGCTGAAAAGCAAGGGACGAGTGTATTCATTAGCATGGGGCATGTTCAAATGACCTGATTCTCTGGGCCTTGGAGGGAGGGTTTTCTTGAGAAGGGAGTCTTTTGAGGCAGGATGTTGCATCCAGTTTTCTCAATCGAAAGAGAAAGGCAAGGAGGAAGAAAGCCAGGGCAGGGGGAAAGGAGTTTCTTAATCGTTGACAATCATCCCAGGCAAGAAGTTTCTTTGCTGCCTACCCCTGCTAACATGCGGGTAGACACATAGCAAAGAGATATGATGGTGTCAAGTCCAGTTCCCGCCTGGAACCACCCACCACTTGCACAACCCCTGGCAGCCTGCCACCCAGGAGAACAGGGTCTGAGTATCTGAGGCCCCTGCCCCTTGTTGACAAGAGACAGATGGTGTTTGTACTTCTCTCAAGGACAGACTTGTGTCATGTGAAGGTGAAGGAGGAAATAAAGGCTCCACAAACATGCTCAGTCCCTCTTTATGGCACCCACTTACATACCTGGCAGCTGTCCAACTCATCAAAATCCCATTCTTCCTGAATATGTGAAATGGATGAAAAATTACTTGGGTCAAAGTTCAAGGAGCCAGGGAAGGACCTGTAAATGACAGAGTCAAGCAGAGCATGGGCAGTGTCCCCAGTGGAGGCCACCCTGGAGAAGGGTGACCAGTTATGCGCCTCCCCTTGGTCTTTGGGCTCCTGGTAGACCCACCAATGTCTACTCTGCCCTTGGTAAGAGCCTATGTAAGGGCATAAGGAAAGCATAAAAGCTGATGGTTTTCTTACCTGGAGTCTGGAGCCAGAGCACCTGTGTTCGAAGTAGCTAGAACAGCACTGGCATGACTAGGTCTGAATAAGACTTAACGAAGGGATAGACTGGGATTTCAAAATTGTAGAATAGATAAACAAGATTACACTGTATAGCACAGGGAAATATACACAAAATGTTATGATAAATCACAGAGAAAATTGTGACAATGAGTGTGTATATGTCCATGAAGGACTGAA